CACCATCGCCCGGACATGCAATCGGGAATATTTTGCAGAGTAAAACGGTGACACCCAGGCTTTCAAAAACATCAAAGGGAACGTAGAGGGGCACTTCTGGCTGCGGGAGGGGAGCTGAGACCTCCCCGGTTTGTTTCTGGGAATCAGCCACGTGAATGGGACAACACCATGGCCCAAAATGAGAGTAAATTGTCCCCTCCCCAAATCCCCTCTCATTTCCTCTCCCTCCCACCCGGGGCTCACCAGTCTAATATCACAATTCACTTTCTTCCCCCATGTCTGATTCTGCCTCATTGTCCCTGTCCCAGTTTTTAGAACAATGTCAGTGGTTTGAGGTGCAGAGAGGTGGATAATAAATGTCCCTTTAACCCCAATAACCCAAGTTATCTTTTCCTTTAGCACAACCCCCCCCCCCCAGTGAGTCGGGGGTGCCCTGCCCCGTGCTCACCGCATGACTGTATCATACCTGTTCACATGGCAGCGGGGGGCAGGAGTGACTCACCCAGAGCACAGCTGTGGGATGGGCATGACAAGGGGCATCAGGGTGGACCCACATATGACACCAGCTTTGAACTCCATGGGTCCATGGGAATCTCTCACAGAGCACCAATGTCGAGCACAACCCCGCTTTTCTCACACACCACTGGTCTCTCTGAAATGAGTGGGGGGACTCCCAGGAGTGAGAACATTGGTGTGTGGCCCTGAGCCATGTGTTCGATCCTCCAGGAAACAGTTCCCTCTGATACGTGTCAGTGGAGCCGGTCCCGGCTGGGAAGGGGTATGAACAGGGGTTCGATCCCAGCTCTCTCCCCGAGCCCAAAGTTATCTTCGCTCTCCAGCGGGTGGGTGACCCGACCCCTCCCCAGTCACTAACTCCTGTGACTGGCCGTCCACAGCCCTACTGCGCATGTTGGCCGGGGGCTCCACAGCTAAGATTCACCCCCCACACCTTATTAATATTTTACTCTCTTATGAATCAACCTCATTTATTTGTTTCTTTTCTAACAGATTTAAAACATAATTTCCCACATTATGTGGCAAATCTCCGCAGGTATCTCTGAGTCTCCCACAGCCAGATAACGAGACTGTAATCCTGCCCCCAAATCTCCTTCTGGGGAATCGAGCATCTTCAAGGCTCTACCTGTTCATTCCCTTTGGGGCAGCTGGCATTGGCCACTGTCGGAGGACAGGACACTGGGCTAGATGGCCCGTTGGTCTGACCCAGTCTGGCCGTTCTTATGCTCTTATGTTCTTAAGGCATCTTTTTATTTTTTTTCCTTGTCAAAAGTGTACTCAGGGTCCCATTGCAGTGTGCCTGGCGCTGCACAAACACACAGTCTGGAATAATCCGACTCCCTCCCTTAGTCCTACTGCACGTAATACATTACATCAGATTTTGTTTCTCTTAAAAGGAGAGGGATATGCTAATAGGGGTGAGCGTTTCCTGTTTAAATATCTCTTTCACTGCCCAGTCTGCACCCAGAGGGACAATCCGCAGCCCTCTGTGTCTGTGCAGTTACCAGCCAATTCCCCTGATAACTTTCCCCTCCAACCGCAGAGAAAATAAAACTTTAGCTCTATTTGTTTCTCACTGTAGCGGCTTTAGAAGGTATTTTATCCCCGTTGTACTGGTAAAACAAGGAGACATTACACTGTTGCAATTCAAATTGGAATAATTTGTAACCTGTCTTTATTTGCAGGTGCCCGGTCGCAGGTCCAGCTGGTGGAGTCCGGAGGGGATGTGAAAAAGCCCAGAGACTCTCTCCGCCTCTCCTGCAAAGCCTTTGGATTCACCTCGAGCAGTTGTCATATGGATTGGATCCACCAGGCTGCAGGAAGGGACTGGAGTGGCTGGCCAGAGCTGCTGCCCAGGGTAGCACCTACTACTCTGATTCCGTGAAAGGGCGATTCACTGTCTCCAGAGACAACGCCAACAGCCTGGTGCTTTTGGAAATGTGCAGTCTCCGAATGGAGAACACCACCCTGTATTACTGTGTCAGAGACACACCGTGATGGAACTAGGACGAATACCCAGCACTGTAATGACTTGACATTGGAGTTCGCTGGTCTGGGCCACTCAAGGTTTGCAAGGCAATAAAATGTTCAAATCTGGGAACAGAACTCAACTAGGCAGCGGATGTTTTTTCCCCTTGAGTGACATGAAAAGGAAACATTTCATGTGTCAATAAACTAGAGAACAGTTCGTGTCTAGGGCCCCAGAACTCTCTCAAGCTCTATGGGCGCCAAGGACAGGGGTGGTTTTGAGTCAAAATACCCTTCCTTTGCGGACTGGGTTTATTAATATAAAATAAATTCCACATAATACTCAAAACACCAGACAACACTTCATAATATGATTCTCTTCTCTGTTTGGATTCCATTTTTTAAATCAAATAACATAAGTTAAACTTTTAAGTGTGTGGAAAGAAAAGGACACACATGGGTTTAAAGCCAGTGATTCAGTCGCGGTAGAGTGGGGAACCTGCCCGGAAACAATGCCACAACACCCTGGCTACGAGACTGAACTTCACCTCATCCGCGACTCGAGAGTTTGGGCCAAATTCTACAGTTGTCCCTGGTGCCAATTCATCACTAAGAGCAGAGGGAGTGCTGGGATTGTCAGGTGAGGAGGTGACTATAGCTTGGGATTTTCAAAGGAAGTTCCAATGGGATTTTGTCACCCGAATCCTTGAGGCTCCTTTAAAAACGCCAGCCCTTGTGAAGAAAGGAAGAAACCTTGTTTTAGAGTGTGTTATTTTGTTGGAGTGTGATAGAGTCAACTGCTGCATGAGCTCTCTAGTGGCCAAGGGCCACACTGCAGGCAGCCTGCCTCAGTTTCCCCTATTGGATTAATCAGATACAATTTCACCCATGGATTTTGGAGTCAAAAATCCCCTCCTTTTGGACTCGGTTTATTACTATAATAAAAACTCCAAATAATAATCAAAATCCCAAAACAAAGTCCATCCAAAAGGCCACACAGAACAACGGTTCCTCTTTCCTTTCTGCCTGGGGCCTTTCCTGATTTGGCAGCCCGCCCCCTGGCCCTACCTGGCTGCAGTCTCAGTCCTAACTCCCAGGGCTTTCTGCTGGATGAGCACTGAGCATTCCCCCTTCACTGCAGCCTCGGCTGCTCTTCTGAGGGCAATCACCTGATCCCTCACAGGATTGGCTCCTGTGTAATCAGAGTTGGCTGGTCCCAGGCCCTTCACTCCTTAGGGACAAGCCAGCCTGAAGCAGCACAGTCCAGCTGAGAGGCTCCATTAGTAGAGTTTATTTTTCAGGCAGTGCAGTGTGGTGACTAGCTCACTGGGCTGGCCTGGGGACACCTGGGCTCTATTCCCAGTTCTGCACAAACCTGGCATATGCAGACATGAGCAGCCTCAGCCCAGAAGATCCCGCCCTGTATTTACTGTGCGGAATTACAGGGAAAGGAAACCAGCCTCATCTCATCCAAAACACCTTCCTCTGCAATTGCATGAGAATATCTAGTCATGGCGCCCAAGGTCTGCAAGTAACAATGAGCCCATTAGGTACAAAGGAGAGTAAAGAAACAAACCAGTGTTTTCATTTCACTTTCTTTCCCAGGATTAATTTCCCACAGGCCATAGAAGAATATAGATATTTAATCAAATATATTAAGACGTTCATAAAGTCTCCTTCCATCGCACTTCCCCTGCCTTAACAGACTCTTTGCCCCCTCAACACCACCCCCCCCCGCCCCCCAAAAAACCCTGTGCTGTTCTGGTTCAGTGTAGCATCCTATCTAATAGACCATGTTGCTTCCTGGCTGTTACCATTGCACTTATTGGAAACACTGCTGTGGCATACTCAAGCACAGTGCCCTGATAATGTTAGTGCTTCGAATTGCTTCAGGGCCTAATGCCCAGGCTCCTACCCCTGCAATGGGACTGGGAATCTGAGTAGGGATGGGAATAGGAATTTCAGTGTGAACAGGAATGGGGCGGTGAGTAGAAAGGAGCGGAGGAATGGGAGTGTCATTGGAAATGGGTATAGGTGTGCGCGGGGTGACTAGGAATGGGAATGCAAATAGGAATATGAGTGTTAATGGGAACATCAGCATGTAAGCAAGTGACTATGGGGATATTAAAGAGAACATGCGTCAGACTGGACATGGGAATGGAGAGATGAGCGTGAGGGTGAATGTGTTATACCTATATCAATACAGGTGGCAATGGAAATATGTATTGTTGTTGTTGTTGTTTGTTGTTTGTGGTGGTGATGGTGATGGAGTTGTGGGTGGTTGTGGCCCCAGCGCCTAAGGCCTCCAATCACAGACCACGACCTCAGAGTGCTAGGCACTGTACAAAGACAGAACAGGAGGACTCTCTCTTCCCCAACAAGTTTACAATCTAGGTACAAATGGGAAGTGCGGTATGAGCGGGAATGGGGAAAGGAATGGGAACGTAATCACCAATATGAATCTCGATTTTTAATAATTATCTCCCTTCAGCGCTGCCTGCATCCTCACCTGAAGAAAGACTCCCAAACACTCGGAGTTCGCCACACGAGGGAATTTTAACTCTCCAGCAGGTGTCCCAGCCCAATGCAACTCTGTGACCCCGCCCCCGCAGTCACTGACCCGCTGTTCTCATGGGCGGGGGCTCCGGAGACCTGTTCCCCACGACCGCATAATTTGATGCCTATCAGGCCTTAAATTCATAACGGGGAAATTGGGCTCACACGTAACAGCTGCTTCTTTACACCCCCCCCAGCGTGGGGCTGGGCGCTGCACAGACACACAGGAAGGGAGGATGTGACTCCTCTCTGAGCCCTGGAGCAAGATTTTCACATAATTAAGGGAAGGAATTTGCATGCATAATGGGGGGGGTGACTATGCAAATAGGGGTGACAGTTTCCTGTTTAAATCTGTGCCTCTCTCTGCCCAAGCTGTACCCGGAGACACAATCCGCAGCCCCCTGGGTCTGAGAAGTTACCAGCCAGTCCCCTGAGAAGTTTCCCCTCCGAAAACTGGGAAAATGAGACTTTGGATCGCAATTGTTTTCACTGTAGCAGCTTTGGAAGGTATTTTGTTCTCCTGGTTAAATGGCAGAGCCAGGAGACTATAAAATTATTGTTGTTTTTATACCCATACTTGTAACATGTCTTTATTTGTAGGTGTCCGGTGCCAGCTGCTAGTGGAGTCCGGAGGGGATGTGAAAAAGCCCGGAGACTCTCTCCGCCTCTCCTGCAAAGCCTCCGGCTTCACCTTCAGCAGCTACTATATGAACTGGGTCCGACAGGCTCCTGGCCAGGGTCTGGAGTGGGTGGCTCGGATTAGACCCGATGCATCCAAGCAGTGGTATTCCCCAGCTGTTGAAGGCCGATTCACCATCTCCAGGGACAATCCGAACAACCTGCTGTATCTGCAAATGACCGGCCTGAAGCCCGAGGACACCGCCCGGTATTACTGTGCGAGAGACACACAATGACACTAACACTGTCGATGCTAATACAAAAACCAGAGCTGCGGAACTTCCCGCGCCTGCCACATGGGGGCAGCAACGACACAAGCAAAACTCTCCTGTCTTGGGCGCAAGAGGGGGAAGGAGCGTCAGGACTGAAAACTCTGACATCGCGGATTAACTCTTTCATGTCCTGCCTACGTCCCCCACCCCAGCGCATAGCAGAGCGCTGCTCGCCTCACGCAAATGGCTCTTCCCATTGGAGTTAACGGGGGATCTCCAGGGAGCGAAGCAAGGAGCAATTGGCCCCTTCTCCATATGGCTAAACCTGCCAGGGAACATTCCCCTCTGGGCACCGCACAGTTCCGTAGAGCCGGTCACTGCTGGGAAGGGGATTCAGTCCCAACTCTCTCCCAGCGCCAGCAGGTGTCCCAGCCCCATGGGACCCCGTGAAACGGCCCCTCCCCAGTCACAGCCCCGCTGCTCGTGGGCCGGAGCTGAGATTCACCCTATTTTATGAATATTTATATATTTCTTTTATCGAAAGCAAACAAATAATTTCACCCATTATGCAGCACAACTCTGCCGGGATCTTAGAATCCTCCATCACCAAGTAATGTGAACAGAAACAGGCCCTAAAGTCGAGTCTCTGGAATTGTGCTCTTTCAGGGATTATTTTATTTTTTATTAATTATTAGTATTATTATTATTATCCAAAATACACTCAGGATCCCACCGCACTGAGCAGGGCCCAGCACCCCTCTTCCCCCAATAAGGGACAGTCTGACCCCTTCTCCTAGAATGTCAAGAGAAATAATAAATCACAACAGAATTTGTGTCTCCTATAACATGGTGGATATGCATATAGGACCACCAGCTCACTGTTTAAATCTGTCTCTCTTTGCCCAGGCTGCACCCGGAGAGACAATCTGCTTCCCCCTCTGTCTGTGCACTTACCAGCCAATCCCCTGAGAACTTTCCCCTCCAGCACCAGTGGTGAATAAAAGCTGCCGTCGGTTTGAAACCCTATAACTGATGGTCTCTGTCACCCACTGCTGCGCCAAGTCCCGATGGGCCTGAGGTGCAGAGATCACTCAGTCCCTGAAGAAACCCCGCTCAGCTGCTCCTGGAAATATGAGGCAGTGTTGGGATTTTCAAAGGGGCCTCATGGACAAAGGAACCCACCTCACAAGTGACAATCACAGTCCAGAATTTCTGCTGCTGTCCGAGGGCGGAGCTAAAGATCCAGCCTGCAATATAGTTCCAGCAATTTCATATAGAGACCGTGGAGATAAAGGTCTCAACCGGCAGCCCTTAATTCCAGGGAACTATCAAGTGTTGGCGCTGAGGGCAGTGAGCTAGTACGGGTTCAGGGCTTATTGGGATCGTGCCAAGACAAGCAGCACCCAGGAAGGGAGGTGTCAGAGGGAATTAGGAGGAGAGAGCCCAGGGCTGGTGGCTGCTCCCCTGGAGTCCTCATTCCCCTTTCGATGTGCCCCAGCCATGACAAGAACAGAACACTGTACACCCAGTGAAACTATGAAATCCGTGCTTTCAAAACAATATCAGAAAATCAGAAAGGGATGTCTGGGGAGGGGCGGGTTGAGGTGAGGGGGAATCAGGGAACTGACGGTTTCTCAACATTTTTGTGTGTGTTAGTTTTTGTTTTTTTGTGAACCGGACAGCAACAAATACCTTTCAGATACCGGTTCTTGCCTGTCCCTGTAAATGTGGGGAGGTGAGAGCTAAGAAAGCCTGGCAGAGCGGGGCAAGTTCCAGTCCGTGCGGACAAACCCTGAGAGCAATTAAAGTCACTTCCCTGACTGCGAAGAGGAGAGTCATGTCCGCTTTAGGGGTGTCAGGGTTGGGCCTGTAGACAGAGCATACACCACTTAGCTGTTGGGGCAACCCCAAAGGCTGAGAGTCTGTTAAACCCTTGCAGAGTTCAAACCTTTTCCACTCCTTTTATTCCCCAGCACTGGGCTCCCCAGACCAAGATGTGAGATTATAAGAACATAAGAAGGGCCATACTGGGTCAGACCAATTTTCAATCTAGCCCAGTATCCTGTCTTCCGACACTGGCCAGTGCCTGGTGCCCCAGAGGGAATGAACAGAGCAGGACAATCATTCAGTGACTCACTGGGAGGAGTTTTATCTGTTATAAGGAGGGGCGTATGCAAATAAAAGTGAGAGTTTCCTCTTTAAATCTCTGCCCAGGCAGCACTCGGGAGAGAATCCGCAGGCCCGTGTCTGTGCAGTTACCAACCGATCCACCCGAGACCTTTCCCCCCCACACCAGGGAAATGAGTCTTTGGCTCCATTTAGTTTTCTTTGCTGCAGCTTTGGAAGGTATTTTCTCCCCCGTCTGGATAAGCGAGTCAGGGGAATGTTGTGCTGTAGGAAATTCACACGGACATGATTTTAATACCTTTTTATTCTCAGGTGTCCGGTCCCAGGTCCAGCTGCTGGAGTCTGGAGGGGATGTGAAAAAGCCTGGAGATTCTCTCAGACTGACCTGTACCACCTCAGGATTCAACATAGACAGCGCCTGGATGAGCTGGGTCTGCCAGTCTCCTGGGCAGAGGCTGGAGTGGGTATCAGCAATTAAGGGAGCAGATGCGCAGTACGGAGATTCCGTGAAAGGGCAATTCACCACCTCCACAAACAGCTCCAAGAAGCTGATTTACCTGCAGATGAGCAGCCTGAAGCCCGAGGACACCGGCCGGTATCACTGTTTCAGAGAAACACACAGTGTGGGGAAGCCAGTCTGAGCTCAGACTAAAACCTCCCGTTGCGGTCAAGAGGGGATGTCCCAGCTGGTTTGTGACACTGACAGTCCAGGCACTGGGCTCTCATGGGAGACAAGTTCCGGAGTGTGTTCCGCTTGAAATGGTTAAACTTTACTCAGCTCTAGTGGCAAATCTAGTGCCACAGACAGCAGCGATCCCGAGGCCGGCCCCTCGTGACTGGGATGGGGGAGTGACATGCTGGGCCCCATAAACCCTTATATGCTTCAGAATACATTCTATAAAAACCTGGGCGACTGGGAAACAAAACGGCAGATGAAATGTAATGTTGATAACTGCAAAGTAATGCACATTGGAAAGCGTAATCCCAACTATACATATACAATGATGGGGTCTAAATTAGCTGTTACCACTCAAGAAAGAGATCTTGGAGTCATCGTGGATAGTTCTCTGAAAACATCCACTCAATGTGCAGCTGCAGTCAAAAAAGTGAACAGAATGCTGGGAATCATTAAAAAAGGGATAGATAACAGGACAGCAAATATTATGTTGCCTCTATATCAGGGGTGGGCAAACTACAGCCCGCGGGCCGGATCACGAGCTGCACCACGGCTCAGCCCCCCTCCACTGGGCACAGAGTCGGGGGCCGCACCACGTGGCTCCCGGAAGCCCCGGCATGGCCCCGCTCTGGCTCCTATGCTCTCCAATGGGAGCTGCAGAGGTGGTGCCTGTGGATGGGCAGTGTGCAGAGCTCCCTGCCCGTGCCTCCGCATAGGAGCCGGAGAAGGGACATGCCGGTGCTTCCGGGAGCCGCTTGAGGTAAACACCACTCGGAACCTGCATCCCTGAGCCTCTCTCCATGCCCCAAGCCCCTGCCCCAGCCCTGATCCCCCTCCCACCCTCCAAATCCCTTGATCCCAGCCTGAAGAACCCTCCTTCACTCCAAACCTCTCATCCCAAACCCCACCCCAGAGCCTGCACTGGCAGCGAGAACCTGCACACCTCTGCCCCAGCCGTGATCCCCTTCTCACCCTCTGAACCCCTTGGTCCCAGCCCAGAGCACCCTTCTACACCCCAAACTCCTCATCCCCACCCCCCCCCCAGCCCCCCCCCCCCCCCCCCCCGCACCCCAACCCCAATTTTGTGAGGATTCATGGCCCTCCATACAATTTCTATTCCGCGATGTGGCCCTCGGGCCAAAACATTTGTCCACCCCTGCTCCAGAGGGAGGGTTAAAAGAGCCTCGGGGTACCTCACAGGAAAGAATTCCCAAGTGCACCTTCCTGGGTTCTCAAAGGGGGTTTTGCATTTGGGTGGCAGTGATACCGGTCCAAGGCCAGGGAATCTGTAACCTTGGGGAGTTTTAAGGCAGCCTTTAGTGGCAAGTATTTTTAAGGTCTTTTGCGGGTCCCCACCTTCTGCACTGGAAGTGTCAGAGTGGGGAAACAGCCGTGACAGACACAGGGGCAGCAGATTTCAGAGTGGTAGCCATGTTAGTCTGTATCAGCAAAAACAATGAGTAGTCTTTGTGGCACTTTAGAGCATAACTAATTTATTTGGGCATAAGCTTTCATGGGCTAGAACCCACTTCATCGGATGCATGAAGTGAAAAATACAGGAACAAGTATAAACACATGAAAGGATGGGGCTTGCTTTACCAAGTGTGAGGTCAGTCTAATGAGATAAATCAATTAACAGCAGGATACCAAGGGAGGAAAAATAACTTTTAAAGGGGTAAGAGAGTGGCCCATTACAGACAGTTGACAAGAAGGTGTGAGTAACAGTAGGGGAACATTAGTATTGGGGAAAGCAAATTTAGGTTTTCTAATGACCCAACCACTCCCAGTCTCTATTCAGGCTTAATCTGATGGTATTCACTCTGCAAATTCATTCCAGTTTTGCAGCTTCATTTTGGGTCTGTTTTTGAAGTTTTTTGGTTGAACAATTGCCACTTTTAAGTCTGTTATTGTGTGACCAGAGAGATTGAAGTGCTCTCCTACTGATTTTTGAATGTTATGATTTCTGATGTCAGATTTGTATCCCTTTATTCTTTCACGTAGAGACTGTCTGGTTTGGCCAATGTACATGCAGCGGGGCATTGCTGGTATATGATGGCATATATAACATTAGTAGATGTGCAGGTGAATGAGCCTCATATGGTGTGGCTGATGTGGTTAGGTCCTATGATGGTGTCCCTTGAATAGATATGTGGACAGAGTTGGCACTGGGGTTTGTTGCAAAGGTAGGTTCCTGGGTTAGTGTTTTTGTTGTGTGATGTAT